GCGGCCTCTGGGGGATATTGCAGAAGCAGCACAGTCGCTCTTGAGTTCCAGCCCTCGTCATCATCTTCGGTTCTTGATTTGCAGCACCTAAAATGTTATCCGCATAGAGAAATTGCGTCGTACTTGTATTCCAAAGCGCAATTACAGGACTTGGCAAAAAGCCAAGAGAGCTGCACGCGACCGTGCCGCGCGGACGGTGTTAGTAAAAACGTGAGTTTGCGAAACTGGCGGTGTAGCAAGGTATTACGACTTTCCCACGGCACCGTACTCTGACCCCGTGCACTTTTAGGGAGATGGACCACGACACATCGACAGCTGGGGGGCTGATAGTCTCATACACCCTCAGTGTGTTTGAGCGATGTGTCTTTAAGCGCTTCAGTACGGCGGAGACATTTTGCATGGCACTCACAACCACAAACTTCTTTAATTTCAACCAAAAACCAATCAAAAATTTCAACCAAATTCTAATCGCTAATGACAAATCTGCCTTACATATCTGCTAAACGGCGCTCTGCCTAGAGTTATGAAGAATTTATCTTCAATTGAAGTGGTCACACCCATGCTCAAACTGTACAGTGGCTATCGGAATTTGGAAATTTTTTTCTTTTTATCTCGGTGCGGTCAGTAAAAGACGAATTTGTTGCATCAGAGTTCTACTAGAAGAATGACGTACAACACCCTCATCTGAGAATCGAGAATTCAACAAGAAGGATAAGATTTCTCTCTGAAGAGGGGTGTCAGAAGTTTGGAATCTCCAGTATACATTTAATCACATGAAAATTTTAAACTACCTTGAATACAGTGAGGAAATTTCAACCTGTGTGTCCGGTTCATAATAACCTCACGACTACAGCGTTGGACTGTTTGTTTTGCATTAATTTCACCTTCATTTCTAAAGTCCTTTCGAAGTGTGTCGGTGGTTCAGTTGACACCTCAAACCTGGGTAATTAAACGTATCCGGTGAAAATATATATACATAAAAAACATAGATTAAACAGTGATATCCGAGCTCAGCGAACCTCTTTTATTCAGTCTAGGTGGTCGTAGCTTGCAGAGGAATGTAAGATTTAAATATTGTGACATTCCATAAGTGATCAGCTTTTGGATAACGTTATACGAGTTACAAAGTGTAAAGCTAAGGAATAGAAATTACAGGGTCCTCTACACAAAGGTCCTTCTCAAAGAAAATAGCTTCTACTCTGTTCTTCAATGTAATACAACGGTACAGCTTAACGCTTCTCACAGAAGTGCTGGTTCGGGTCAGGACCGAATAATAACATACGAGTAATTTTTCTTGATGGAAGAAGTCAGGGCCAAGAGGGCGCCATGCTTAATCATCTCTAGTCAGGACACTTTTCCACTGACATGGTTCTACACGCAGTTGGGAGCACCGTGTTCAGCAGGACACTATTGTGCCTAGCTAAGTCCTCCGTTCTTCGAGTATGGTTATGCTGTTCATCGCCAGGCTATCCAAAAGATTTCCATACCCTGACGATTCCTTTACTGTGTTTAAATTTCCGGAGTGCACATGCTTGGATTTCGGGGGTGAACACTTCTTTGGATCTTGGGAGGGGACACCTCGAATATTCGCCTTCCTCTGTATGTCCAACGAACTCCACGCCGTTGCCTTCAAAAAGGCAGTATTTGAAGGCAACGGCGTGGTATTTATTTATTTATTTGTTTATTTACTTATTTATTATTGCACTCCTAGGTGCGCTACATTTCTTGATACCATAATCAGGTCGGAACTATAACGGAAAAATAAAAGAAAAAAAATGCAAAACACCATGGAAACGAAACACAACACAAAAGAACACAACACAAATTAACTCAAATGGCACAGAACGGACATAGAAATTCAGCGGGATGGTAGAATAAATATAGCTATAATATAGATAGTTCCCCGAGCTTCATTGTTTTGAGACTTGTTCTTATGTTAGGGAGTGAGAAGCTCTTTTGTTCTTATGTTAGGGAGTGAGAAGCTCTTTTGTTCTTATGTTTGGGAGTGAGAAGCTCTTCTTTCCTTCCAAAAATTTATTGACAACGTTTCGGGCCTAACCCCTTCTTCAGGTCATTTAATTACACAAACGAGAAAGATCTTACACACGCACAATAATACGGCAACAACAATCATCATAGAAAGAGCAGCAACCTACAGCGAGTTGTCCGGGAAGGGAGAGGTAGGGGTTGCCTGGACTTCTTGTGCAGATAAAGGCAAAAATGGAAAAGTGGCAGGGTTCTGGGTATATATACACATGTAGGACCAAAGGTGATCTAGGAAATGTCACGTAGAACTTCCCAATGCACGTCCTACAGTGATACCATACTCTTTACCACTCACCTCCTCCTTGTTGTTGATCGGTTGTATCAGCTGCTTAAATCCTAACGCTTCTCTTATTCTTCTCTCGACGGGATCAACCACATTTCTGTGCAAAATGGAGACTCGAAGTTCGGGCAGTCTTTCCTGAGCATGCCGTAGTGTACGATGTCGCGAGAATGGATTATCAGCGTAGTTCTTTGGACTACGCAGAGCTCTCATGTGTTCCTTCACTCTCTTGTGTAGTGGTTTATGTTTCCACAATGTAAAATTCATGACGCGAAAGGCACACCACCTTGTGCACTACATATTTTTCTTGACACACCTTGTGTTCTCCGCAGATCTGAGTTTGCTCTTTCACAGCGACTTTCATAAGGTCGCGATGATGTCAAAAGGCGTCGTAAAGTGGGAGGCGGTTGAAAGATCAGCCTTACTGGAAGCCGTGATCTCTTTATAACCTCATTAACATCAATCGCAAACGAATCGTTGATAAAAGGCAGCACGAGTGGAGTACCACAAGGTGATCGGCATGGTCTCCAGCAACGGAGTTGCTGGTTCCTGTATCCGTTCCGCCGCCGTAGGATATTCTCAACTTCTTTCTTCATTTCTTCAGCATTCGTGGTCAGCTCACATGATGTAGATATCATATGCCGAACCATGTTCACTTTCATGTGGGGGGGGGGGTTAGCAACTTCTCGCATGAATTAGGACGTTCTGTGATGCCAATTTCCTGTACCACATGGTGTTGATCCGACCGTCCAAAATATTGATCTTGGTGTTTAGAAGGGGGAAAAAGCCATCAGCGGGAGGGCGTTCGGCTCTTAGTTTTATCGACTGAACGTCTTGTTGAGTCTTCCAAATGTCTGTCGTAAGGGTGCTCGCGATCATCCGACGACGAATATGTCGTCGATATATCGTCCGAAATACAGTGTTACTAAACCCACCGATCAACAGCAAGGAGGAGATGAGAGCGGATGAGTCTGATATTACTGTAGGACGTGCACTAGGAAGGATAACGTGACGGAGATGAGGGTGGCAGTTAGTCTGATATCACTGTAGGACGTGCACTGGGAAGGATAACGTGACATTTCCTAGATCACCCTTGGTCCTACATGTGTATATATACCCAGAACCCTGCCACTTTCCTATTTTTGCCTATATCCGCACAAGGAGTCTAGACAACCTCTACCTCTCCCTTCCCGAACAACTCGCTGTAGGTTGCTGCTCTGTCTATGATGACTGTTGTTGCCGTGTTATTGTTTATGTGTGAGATCTTTCTTGTTTCTGTTCTTCAGTGACCTGAAGAAGGGCTTAGGCCCAGAACGTTGTCAATAAATTTTTGGAAGAAAAGAAGAGCCTCTCAATCCCATACATAAGAACACAGCTATTACCTATAATGTTTATGAAAGGTAGGGAATTGCCAGTCAAAAGTGTATGAGAAAACAAAGAAGAAGAAGCCGCGCGTTGGAGCTGTCGTGTGTGCACATGAAGTCACCACAAGTAATGTGAAGAAACTTGATTTCAGCAGGAGCATGGCGCTAGGGAACTTGTGGGCGAGCAAAGGGCAAAAATATGGAATCACCTACTGAATTTTCGGAATTTGGTATTCCGTATCCCTAACAATCCAACCTCTGACCTAATTTGGTTTATTAGTAAACTATCTCCTCAAACGATAAGCTTAGGGCGAAACTACTAGAATATTTCCTTGCCTCGAAACTGGAGAATTCGCTACCTAACAAGCAAAAATTTCCGCTTTGAATGAGCAAAACATAGTCCCGGAAATACGGAAGTAAGTCCCCATTGGAGTCCAGATTGACTGACAGGAGAACTCGGAGAATATGGCAAAACTGAATTCCATTACTCTACTGCTACCGAATATCCTCAACTACATTTTAAAAATGTCAGATCTCTTCAAACATGCTTTGAACTCCTTCAAATTACTACACGAAAGCATATCATGGGGTAGCATGCGCAAACACCTAGCCACTCGGAAAAAGAATGAATGAAACAATATTAAAACGCTCGAATTTCTTGTAGTGGATTGTGAACCCATTCTTGATCTTCCTGTATGATCGAAAAATCCAGTATTTGCTGACTGCTAATTTTATCTCTCTCCTAAAAATGCCAGAAGCGAATACAAGGTCGTTGAAAATTCTTCGATATTCTAATTTCTTCATGTTCAACGCTCTCAAGCAATCTTTGTAGAGTGGAAGTGCCTGGGGGTATTCCGAATCAGAGACGCACCTATAGAACGCAAGCTATGTAAGCGTCTTACACTCTTTCCAACCTGTTCTCGTGTTTTTTTCTTCCAGGAACCTCATACAGTGGAACCATATGAGGCCGAACGTGAATGTTCTACAGCTTGACAAGAAGGCTGGGGTCGTTACATTGCACATTGCTCGATATTAGGAAAAAACACCCAAGGGCCTTTCTCACGACGATCTCAGTATGCCCATCAAATGTCAGCCGCACATAAGAAAGAATCCCCAGGCCCTTGAGCATTTAGCTTCATGAATGTTCCATGAACATAGTACGGGATGAGCGGGCAGGGTCCCAGATGGAGATGTACAGTTTTTGCCAAATTGATTGGGAGTTCCCAGTCTGCTGACCAACTCACCATCTTCTCGATGGATAATCGTAGCATTTTGTGTCCTATTGGCTGCTCATGACTGTCGTGAACACATTAGATTCTGATATCAACAGCAAACATTTTAACCTCAATACTGGGGTGAACCTTAGGAATTTCTGGCAGATCTAATGTAGAAATCAAGAACAGTAGTGGTGAAAGTGCTCCTCCTTGTTGCGCACCACTCGAACATAAATGGCGATCAGAATACTGATTGTCACCCTAACCGTCATATACCTACCTTAACCATTCTAGTAGTAGCCCTTGGATCCCGATCAACTTATCAACTTCAGCTTGCTAGTTAATTTATCGTGGCAAACCTTGTCAAACGCTTGTTACGGTTGATGCTCCCGGTGAAAAACCATGTTGTTCTGATGGTATGACCCTCTCCCCCCCCCTTTGACTAGCCACTCAGTTTTTTTTGCAGGTGATCTTTTCCATCCCAGCACGGGACAGATGCTTATAGGCCTAAAATGTGAGGCCTTGGTAGCACAGGGAACTTTTGGAATTGGGGTTGAGAGAGCATCTTTCCAAAAACTAGGCACGGAGGCTGTATTGAACTACTTAATAAGAGAGAGGCGTTCATATTTAACGCCTTTCTATTATTCGGTAGGCACTTCACCGAATAATAGAGAGGCATAAGTATGAATGTTACAAGATGCTGAAGGGCAAAACAACACTTTCGAAGACAATTTGTGGTATCCATCATAGGCAATAGAGGAGGAGACTTTCAGTTCTTTCACAACTCCTAGAACATCATGTGGCTGTATAACAAACTCCAGGATAACATTAAGCTTGCTTTGATCGGCCATCTGGCTATGTAGTTGGTCTGAAGGTTGAACGGGTTGGGTAAACGCAGTGGTGCCCCAGAGCTGTCGCCATCTTTCGGTCAGAGTTGAGGGTCTGATTCTCATCATTATCATCACAATGCATATAGGCTTGGTGGCGGCGTTAACCTTCCGTTTCATATACCTGAGAAAAAGGAGTCTTTACCACTGAATAGTCTACGCTCGCAATAGACGGGGTGTTTTTTGGCGTCAAAACTGATGTTAGAACAGACTTCCTTGTAATCCGGATTGTTGAGGGGATTCTTCAACTCTCGGAGCAAGCGAATTTTCTGGTCAACTAGATTTCTGATATGGGTGGGGCATCAATGATTTTCCCTTACTATAGCGGAAAGGCAGAAAACTAAGAAAATTAGAGAAGAATTCATGAAGAACCAAACAAAATTTGTAGTAAAGGTCTGTAACTGAAATGTAGTTGTTGAATGTCAGATTAACATCTACTGCGTTAAGACAGTCACTGAGGTTCCGATAATCAACCCGGGTGAACACAGGATCGACTAGGAAAAAATATGTCATCCTTTATTTGGTCAATTTCAAACTTCGCAATGTTATGATCGGAGTTTCCGAGAGGAGGAAGAATGTCAATATTTTTAATCGTATCACAGAAGATAAGATCGAGTCTAAGACTGATTCCCCACGAGCAAAGTACCTAACTCATTGTCTGAGCTCGCAGCACTCGAAGGCCTATTTGAATCGCATATCGGCTCCATTGACTGCTTTGTCATTCTCCCAGTCAGTGCTCAAGTTGAAATACCAGTGACAATAATGGGGCTTGTTGTGGAACATATGTCATAGAGAGGATCAATTAACTCATTATCATTACCAGTCGGCTCGCCGGCTGACGCCGGCGCGCCTATTTCTGATACGGCCCAGCTGCGCTGGCGGGCGCGGCTTCGCCGCGCGTACCTTTTTTAACTTATTTATAAACTCAACTGATATCAGGCTTTTGTTCTGTACTCATGGTTAGAGCTTCTCGACGAATACATCATCCCTGCTATTTTGACTTTACTGAGTATGGAGTGGTACTAAAGTGCATCGATTATGGGCACAGGCGAGAGAATAGATGGAGAAGGAATGTGTGGCGAAGCCAACTTGGCCCGTATCACAGGAGCAGGAGCAGTGGCACCTGCCGCCGAGCCGACTGGAATCTAATAGCTATGAGGACCGGTGGTTAAGAGCATGGCAGAATACGCGCTTAAACTCAGTAAGATAAGTACCTCTCTCCGCCCACTGGGAGCGGGTCACAACACACCACAAACACACTCAACTTTTGCCATATATCCAGCAGTTGAGGTCCTGCAGGTTCTGCACATCTCCGCTTACATGTTGACGGTGTCTGGACCGCTCTGAAACCGTTTTGCAGATTTTTTGTCTGGCTTCGCTCACCTCGGGCTGGCCTCGTCCACAACATTTGTGCCCCACACTTCTCAATGGGCGACCAACTCAATTTGTTCCGGTCTTTGAAGTGCTCTGGGACCGTTTTACAGATTTGTCTGGCTCCGCCACCTCGGAGCAGGCTCCGCCCGCAGTGTTTGTGCCCCACAATCCTCATCGGCGATCCTGTGCTGACCTCAATCCACTTTTTTTTCGGTGTCTGGAGTGTACTGGAACTATTTTGCAGATCTTTTGTCTGTCTCCGCTCACCTAATAGCAGGCCCTGCCCACAATGTTTGTGACCCACAATCCTCAATCGGCCCGGCCCTCATTAACCTCAATCCTCTTTTTTCCGGTTTCTGTAGTGCTCTGGAACTGAGCTACAAACTTTTTAAATGAATATCCTGCGATTAAGGGTAAGCTCCGCGCACTGTGGGCGGGTCTCAACGCACTTTGAGCGTTCCCAACACTCGCGAGGTATTTAAACTCTACACTAAGTTTTCTGCGACTTCTAAACACTCTTGCGAACCGGGTTACTGAGTTAATAAGAAGCGCCGCCCACCTTGAGTACGCCTCGCCCATTTTGGATGTGTCTGCCGCAGTAAGTCTGGCAACTCCTTGCTAACCTCATTCCACTTTTTCCTCATCTTTGAGCTGCTCCGGAAGCGAATTATGAACATTTCTGTGCGGAACCCCAAAATTTCAGCGAGCGCCCCACCCGCTGTGGGCGGGGCTTCGCATAGGTCAAATGTGCTTTTTATTTCTTGTCCCATGTACCATCCCCACCTTGACCTGAACTCTCCAAGTCGTTCTTTCAGGTCGAACCAAATTTCCGGACAGACAAACAAACTTACAAACAAACAAACTTACAAACACTTAAACAATTAAACAAACAAACAGGCGGAGCGTATTATTATATTAACGAAACTACGCGAATTTAACAAGGAACGACGCAAGTGGGTGCAGTTTCCACGCATCACTGGCGGACCCCCCCCCCTCACTCTGATCGAGGGCGGCTCGCTGGTCTTCCTCAGTTCACTTTTATAAACTACCATTCCTTGAATCCTGCGCTTTTATTCAACTCCCTAGCTGCTGTCTCAATTTGTGGTCCATAGCCCGCTCTTCAGTTGATACTGCACCTTATAAGCATATCAGACATTGTGGATCGACGCGGCAGACGTGCATTAGCAAGAACCTTTGACCAGTGGAAGTTAGACGGGAATAGAACTTTAACTAACTAGTTTTCGAATCCAAAAATGCTCCCATTCAAAGACTGATTCAGGACGACACTCAGTATCACGAATGTCGTAAAGACACATGGTACGCTCAAACACATTGAGGGTGTATAAGACTATCAGCTTCCCAGCTGTCGAAGTGTCGTGGTTTCCCGCCCGAAACTGCACGGGGTCAGAGTGCGGGGCCGTGGAAAAGTCTAATTCCTTGCCACACGAAAGTCTAATTCCTTGCTATACCGCCTGAAATGCAGCTTGTGGCGCAAAGTGCTTGCTGACAGCCGTCCGCCCGGCGCGTGTCGCGCTCGGTTTTCTTGGCTTTTTGCCAGGTCCTGTAATTGCGCTTTGGAATACAAGCAACACCCAATTTCCCGAAGCGGAAAACATGATGATGAAGATGACAAAGGCTAGAAATGAAGAACAACGAATATAGATGTAATAAAACAAAATGAAAAATTCAAAGGAACGCAAATTGATTAAAATCGCGTGTTAATTTCTAAGGTCCGGGGCGAATCCAGCTCCAAGGCCATGGAAATACTTTAAATTAACGAGTGGGACGCTTAGGCCGTTTTTGTTTTTATGCTTGGTGGGAATGCGCGGCCTAGGGCACATCGTTGCAGAGGAATCCCCAGTAGGAGGACCGTATTTGGTCGAAAGGAGAGGGGGGTCGTATTTGGGCCTTCAAAAACTTATTTTGATAGCTGATTTTTCTCGCTTCATGGACGTTTTAGGGGAGGGGGTCGTACTTGGTCATTTTTGGGAGGAGGTGTCGTATTTAAGTTCTGGCGTTATTGGAGTGGTGATTGACTTTTGGTGATTTCCCTGTTTCGTGTGTGGTATACAGGGGGGGGGGCAAAAAAAGTCATTCGACCGAGTCACATATCAGCAAAGTTTTTGCAGCCCAGAGGACGTGGATACGAGTACCAGGGCGGAAGATACCCAAGATGTTCCTCGATAAGCAGGAGCTGGCTCTCGCCCATCACCTTCATGTACACCAAAATATGAAGTCATCTCCACTCGCAGCCTGACTGGAGAAGACCTTTGGAATTCATGTCACCTCCAAACAGATACGATACTTCTAGTATGGAGTCACCCATGGATAGCTACCTGGAGACTAGTACTCTCGATCTGGAAGCCCTCCAACATTGAGCAGCTCCGACAACGTCGCCACGGTCTAGGACATCATCTTCACCCTAGTACGCCAAGGTACGGGATGATGGTAAAGGCCGGGTGTGCCTGGTATGGAAAGACCGATATTTTCTTCGTGAACCTTGGACTGAAGGTGAGCGCTGGCGATAACATCAAGCAACTCGAGAAGAATATCCTCCCGTACCTTCTGGGAAATTATGTACTGCTACGGGATTGGGCGACACCACGTGGATTCGAAGGGTATTGGAAAAACACTCGACCACTTGGAATGGAAGGACGTTGAGTACCTGAAAAAGATGGAATATCAACGAAGGTCACCTGACCTAAACTCCCTCAATTACCCGGTTCGACAACAAAAATCAAAAGGTGGTCTGCAGTTCATGTAGAAATCAACTATATCGCTGGACTCAGGTACCCACTCACGGTCGCGTGGTAGAATCTCTCGATGGCGCTTCTCCAGAAGGCTGTGGCGGAGTATAGTGATAGTATTCAATATGCTCTTTAATATGGTGGTAGAAATGTCCGATCAGAATTTGATAAAGTGTATCTTGTAGCGCCTCGAGGGTCAAGGGAGAAAAGTGACTTTTTTGTCCCCCTCCCCCCGCTAGACGGCTCGATTTGATGAGGAAGGAAAGAGGACTGGGGGCGGGGGTCGTACAGACTCGACTAAAATCCCCAACCAATGATGTGCCCTGGCGCGGCCTCCGAGGGATAGTGCATAAGCAGCACAGTTGCTCATGAGTTCTGGCCATCATCTCTTCTTCGTCATCAGAGAGTTCTTCGTCATCATCTTCGATTCTTATTTTGCAGCACCTAAGTTAACCGCACCAGGATATTGCTCTTTACTTGTATTCCAGAGCGCCTTACCATTAAGTAGGTTTGCGTGCGGCAAAGTTGCATTTTGGGCATGAAAATAAAAACGGTCTAAGCGTCGCACTGCTTAGTTTAAAGTATTTCTATGGTTTTGGAGCTGAATTCGTGCCGTATCCTAGAATTTTACACGTGTTTCAATTGATTCGCGTTCCCTCAATTTTTTCATATTTGGGCTGGCCGCAAGTCGAAAGAGTTAGGCCGCGGCTTCAAAGCCGTTCTTTATGGCGGGCGGAAAACTACAGCGGTGTGGCCATGATCGTGTCTCAGCGATTTCGCGATACGACTGTGAGCGTAGATCGTTTCGACGACCGTTTAATGAAGATTGTTGTCACTATTGAACAACGACTTTACCACTTTTCCTCTGTGCCCCACAAACTGGATGCTCTGAGCAGTCCAAGGACGAGTTCAGGGCTCTACTGGACGAGAAGACGGCTGAAGCGGCACCAAAAGACGGTATCATTGTAGCCGGCGATCTGAACGGACACGTGGGCGCTGCAAAAGACGGCTATGCTTGTCATGGCGGATTCGGTTACGGTTCACGGTGAGCGATGGTGAGCGTGTCCTTGAGTTTGCAGAGTCGCATAATCTCGTCATTCTGAACACAAAGTTTCGTAAACGTGACTCCCATCTCATCACGTTCTACAGCGGTAGTACCAAAACACAATTAGACTTTGTGCTCATCATGGCGACCAAGGGCTCGTTACAGACGCTAAGGTAGTACCTTATGAAACGGTTGCCACGCAGCACCGCCATGCATCATCGATGCCATATCACGAGATCTTCAGAAGGGAGTGCCTTGGACCCTGGTTTACGCTGATGATGTGATGCTTGCTTGTGAAGAAAAGAGCGCACTGGAACAGCAGGTGCAAGCTTGGGCCGAGCGTCTGG